CATCCATACCACCATATGCAACAAAATCTTCATACAAACATGGCTTCTCCTCTCAATGACAACAATAGCCACCAAATCAAGGCAACATGTACAGCAATCCCGGTCACTCGTATTGTGTCCATTGGTAATCCAAAAGATGACTCAGACTCACTACTCATCAAACTCAAAGTCGAATTCAAGCCATTAAATAACATTGACGGAAGAGTGTTATCACACATATCCATCAACAACAAATACCAGATACATATCCATCAACAAGAAAAAAAAACAGTGATTTTAAGAAATACTGGATATTCATATTCATAGCTATAATTTCGCTTACTAACGAAATCGAGCATTTAGCAGACATTTTAAAAAAACGCAACTCACGAAATATCAAAAACAAATCAAAAAAACCATAAAAATCGAAAACAAAAAAAAACCATTAAAATCGAAAAAATCATCGAAAAATCGAACTAAAAAAACATAAAAACGCAAATATCAAATCACGAAATCGCAAAATCAAATCAAATAGTCGGAAAACATAAAATCGCAAAAATCAAAACAATAAATCGCAAAATGTACTTGAACAACATGCTAAGTTCATGGAAATTTGAACAGAATCGAAAAAAAAAAACGCAAAATCAAATCAAAAAATCGGAAAACATAAAATCGCAAAAAGCAAAACAAAAAATCGCAAAATCTACTTGAACAACATACTAAGTTCATGGAAATTTGAACAAAATCGAAAAAAAAAAACATACCTGAGTCGAAAATCCTTCAAATTGCAATTTCTATGGAGATTTTTGGGGGTTTGCAGAGAGAGAATGAGATGAGCACGAAGAGAGAGAAAGTTAGAGGAGAGAGAAAATTTTGATCGAGTGGTAGGGCCGTAGGGGGTATGAGGAAAAATACGTGTTTTAATCTTAACCGTCTAAATTACCTTAATCCTACGGCTGAGATTGGTTCTTATATAACTAGGGTTCTTACCGGATCCCTCCCATATATATATATATATATATATATATATATATATATATATATATATATATATATATATATAGGGTCGGGATCCGGTGAGAATCACCTTTTATGTGAGAACACTCCTAATATATGAGAACAAATCTAAGCCTTAGGATCAAACAATATCAACGGCTCTAATAAATCGAAACTTTTCATCCATATACTTCCTGCTATTCAGAAAAACAAAGTGAAGAAACTACGAGCTTCAATTTCAATGAGATTCAAGGATTTCGAACACAATTCCGTTCGATTTTTGTCAGATTTCAGCAGCAACAAGAATCAACAAGCTTCATAGATTATACTGGTAAATAATCAACAAAAATTATGTTAATTTTTTCCGAATATAATTTTCTTAAATTTTTGTCAGTGTTTTCGAATTTACGCAGTGTTGTAGTTTATCATTATCTTGTTTGTGTTGACAGAATCCTTTTACTTAGTTGATTAATTTTTGTAATGAATTTTGTAATTGTGTTGCAATTAAAACTTGGTTTAAAATGGGTTATTAGTGCATTTTTATGATAATTAAGAATATCCTGATAATGCATACAAGGTGTTTGATAAAATGCTTGTTAGAAATCTTGTGACTTGGTACTCTATTAGCAATGAGTTTGTTTTGAATGAGTTCGTAGGTAATACTTCGGATACTTTTGATGCGGAAATGATGAACTGCCCTTTGTTATGAATCCTTTTACCCTTTATTTTGTAATTATTTGATAAATTCAATAGAAGATATGTAAAATGAGCAAATATAATTAAAAATGAGCAAACTAAATATGAAAAGTAATATAGTGAAAATAAAATGAGTGAACAAAAATAAAATGAGCAAATTGGTCAAAAATGGATGAAAATGAATTTTGGAATAGATATGGTTCTTCTTCTGGGTCTGTGAAAAGAAGGCTTGTGAAAAGGCCTAAAAGAGTTAATTCTTCAGATGTTGAAGTTATGCAGATTGCTCATGCTCATGCTCATCACACTAAGGTTTTGTTTCTTTTTCCCTATGGTTTAATTTTGTCGTGTCATATCAATTTTGCTATATGTAGCGTTAAGGGCTAAGTATAAGCATTAAATATATTTCCGACAATAGTACTTCATACATGATTGATTTAGATGTTTAATGTCTTTATTTATTGCAATTGTTGTCAGAATTAAAAAATTCAAGCAATTCATTAATCAAGGGTGTTGAGATTTCTAGGAATTTCAGACAAGTGAGGGATGAAATGTGCATCAGAATAGGGGTGTGATTGTGGTTGTGCTTTAGGACACATTTAATTTTATGATTAAACTATGTGACACTTTTGAGATCATATATTTCTTGTGGTACTACTATATTTGATCACTGTACCATGATATTCTCATAATGATTTTTTTTTTAATCACCAAATCAAATGTGGCATATTAATGTCTTTGATAAGGCATCTGGCAGATGGAATAGTGTCTCAAATCGTTTATGTTTGTTGCTCCGAATTTTGTGATGAGATAATCAATTAATCATCATATTGTCTGATTCACAGAAAAACTAGGAAATGAATATTGTATGAAGTTTTGTTCTGCATTCCAATAATGCTAATACAATATCAAATTGAGCTCTTAGTCTTTTCCTCTGGGACTTTGTATTAGCTTCCCATGGACGAAATTTTGGCAAACTACTTTAAAAAAGTTGTTTGTGTTATTGAGTACAAATCAATTATTGTGCAGGAACTATCTACATGGCATACTCTTTCATTGGCATTCCAAACTCTTGGTGTGGTGTATGGCGACGTGGGCACAAGTCCTTTATATGTCTTCACTGACGTGTTTAGCAAGGTACCTATAACATCAAAAGTTCGTTGATATTCTGGGAGCACTGTCTATAGTGATGTATACGATAGCCCTTGTGCCCTTGGCAAAATATGTATTTGTAGTGCTTAAAGCTAATGATAATGGAGAAGGTACATGAATGATTTTCCAACTTTCTTTTCACCTTATGTGCTTTATCATGAGTTATTTTGCATCTAAAAATAATAGGCTACTTCTGGCGGTAGGAGGGACATTTGCTTGTATTCTCTTATAAGCAGGTACGCCAAAGTGAATAAGCTTCCAAATCAACAACAAGCCGACCAACAGATCTCTAGCTATAGGCTCAAACTACCCACTCCGGAACTTGAAAGGGCTTTAAACATTAAAGAGATTTTGGAAAGGAAAGCTTTCATGAAAACCCTTATACTATTTTTGGTTCTTACAGGAACTTCGTTGATTATAGGGGACGGTATCCTGACTCCAGCTATGTCAGGTATGTAATTTTTTTCAAATGAGCACATCCATGTAAAAATAGAGTATGCGTGGGCTACTCAATATTCTCTCTTTCTTTAACAGAGATTATAGTAATTGTGGAATTGCTACTCAATAAACATCACACTTCCACAGATAAAGTTCAACAATATTAACTGAATAAGTTACAAATAATTGCTTTGTGAGCACTTCCTTTCTGTGTTCTTAGCCTTTTCCGAGTTGGTTGTGCTCAAACTTATCCAATATCTTATAGGATATAGTTTTATCTGACCACTTTAGAGCAATATAAAATAAAATAAAATAAAAACATAGGAAAGCTATATATTCACGTAGCCACTTCTTTACGAGCCCAGGCAATTGCTTGCCTCTGCATCACCAGCTCTTACATGATGACGATTTTTGTAGTCCTTTAACCATTAGTTTGCTCATTTGTTAAATAAGCAAATAATTAGTTACTCATTTGTAAAATAAGCAAACATTTTGTTTGATCATTTAGGAAATGAGCAATCAATTTTTTATTCATTTAGCAAATGAGCAAATAGTTAGTTGCTCATTTGTCAAATGAGCAAATAGTTAGTAGCTTATTTGTCAAATGAGAAAACATTTCTTTAATCATTCATTAAATCAACAAGTATTTCTTTGCTCATTTAATTATCAAATGAGCAACAATTATTTGTTCATTTTATCAAATGAGCAAACAATTCTTTGTTGATTTATCAAATGAGCTATTAAAAATTTATAACATAGAAAATGATTTAAAACATATGATAAACCTATTAACTCAACTGGTAGAGCATTATGCAAATGCATAGGGGATGTAAGTTCAATTTCTACATAGGTTATCTCTATAAACAAAATTAATTAAAAAAAAAATTTAAATTCGTACTAAATTATATGAGCAAAAAAATGGTTTGAAATGATTTATGACTAAATAAACTTTGTTACAATTAAACTCTCATACGAACTTGTGTTTCCACATTACATAAATGAACCTACGTGGGATTCGAACCTACATCTTTTGTGCATTTGCACAATGCTCTACCCTTGAGCTAGTAGGTTAACGTATTTAAAACATTCAAACACACTCACAAATGAGCATTAATTTGACAAAATGAGCAAGAATCATTTGTAAAATGAGCAAAAATTCAATGCTCATTTGTAAAATGAGCAAATAGTTTTGTTGCTCATTTGTCAAATGAGCAAACATTTCTTTAATCATTCATTAACTCAGCAAGCATTTCTTTGCTCATTTGTGAAATGAGAAAACATTAATTTGCTCATTTGTCAAATGAGCAAATAATTAGTTACTCATTTGGAAAATAAGCAAACATTTCTTTGATCATTTGGGAAATGAACAATCACTTTTTTGCTCATTTAGCAATGAGCAAATAGTTAGTTGCCCAAAAAAATACAATTAAAAATAAAAAACGAAATTAACAAACCAGGAAGTGCACATAACAAACACAGTAGTGAATTAGTAATTTGTCGACGTATACACGACCCTAGATAGTAATAAAATCTACCATATCGGTCTGGCCGCCAAAACGAAACGTGACACCTAGCAATCAGTGAATGAATCAGATCACACACTGATATTCCCGCAGTTCAAATTGCTACAAGTTTGTCCAGTTTTCTGAATCCTAAAGTAATACTTCATACTTAATAAATACTGCTCAACTTGTCTTGTAAGGTAAAGAATACTTCAGTATTATGCAAAACGAAGGAAAAAGAACAAGTGAACACATACTTAGATTGGAAATTCTTGCATGAAATATGGGACATCAACATCTAACAACTAAAAGAAAACACATACTCTGTCCAGAAAAAAGGATTCTCTTCATACTATTCTTAAATAATGCAATTAAGTTGAAGTTCCTTCTGATCATTATAATTAATAATTGTATTAGAATAAAGAAACAATAATAACTTAGATATAGCAATAATATAATGCATACAACTCTTCATTTGCTACCATATAAAGCAGATTAAGTATCATCAAGAATATTATATACCTTTTGAATAAAACCATCTTTGACAACAGAGTTGCTGAGTTTATTGAATAAGTCATATAAAAGATCCACTTCTTCCTCAGTAACTGCAACACAAAACAATCAATAATAGTTAGAAAGATCAAAACTTTAGAGTCTACAACATGTTCAAATTGTGCCATTTGAATTTCAGCCAGTGAACTTTCAACCATAAATATTAAATACCAAGAAAGATGGCAGCTTAAGCAACAAAATTATAGCCTCAATCAATTCCTTGCAATTATACTCAGATTTAGAGCTCTGAAATATTCACATTTAGATCCAACACCAGAAAACAAAAACAAAAAAAAAAAACAAAATGAAAGAAAACTGGAAAAAAAAAATCAGTGAGGCATTTCGTCGAATACCTTGTAAGCAGTCACAATTCTCAGCTTCTTTGCGTACAACATCAAGAACATAATCAATCAATCACTCACATCACAAAAAGAACATGTCTACAATAAAGTATGCATAAATTACTAAGATAATAAACTGATATAATCAACTAAGCAAGCTAAATTCATATGAGCAAACTAAATTCAAATGAGCAAAGTGAAATAAAATGAGCAAACTAAAATAAAATGAGCAATTTAAACTAAAAATAAATTGATACTTACATTCATCGTTCTTAAGTAACAACTGGAAATTTTGGTTCATCGTTTGGATCGGAGCTTCAGTTGAATCCATTTGCAATTCGCGATTTCTAGGGTTTCAGCAAAAAATCGAAAAAACCCAATTCATGAATAACGTAATTTTGTATCAAATTTTAGCAACATTATATAAAAAATAAACAACATTAGACTAAATAACTCAATATAATAGTGAATATTCAGCATAATATCGCTCGAAAATTCAATCACAAACACAAAGTTCAGATTATAAACAAAAGCATGATTAAACAAAATTTACAAGAATACAAAATCGTAAACGAACAAACACAATCATTTATCAGATTGTCATCCGTTTAGACCAATTAAAACCATAATTTAACAAAAAAAGTATGTTAATAATTTAATATTAGGCTGAAAAAAACATACAAAAAATCGAAAAAAGGCAAAATTGAGCGTCATACTATACACAATGAAAAAATTCGAATAAGAATAGAATTTGATGATGAAATTGAGGAGCTTACAAAAATTTGATGATTAATCCCGCCAATTTGATCTTCATGTAAGTGGAGTTTCTTAGTGGAAAGTTTAGAGAGAGAATGAGTGAAACCTGATAAACTTTCATAGAGGAAGTCGTTTGGAAAAGAGGAAGAAGAAAGAGGTGTAGTTTTTGTGAAATTTACAAAAAAGCCATTACTAATACTGTTTTTCAGACGTTGGATCAATTTTGATCAATGGTGTAGATTTGTTCTCATATAGATTAGAGTTCTCACATAAGGAATGTGTTCTCACATGATCCCATTTCTACATATATATATATATATATATATATATATATATATATATATATATATATATATATATATAAGTCCTAGTTTGAGTCGTCGAAGGCAAGGGGATGAGTATACATACATATATATATATATATACATACATATATATATATATATATACATACATATATATATATACATATATATACATATATATATATATATATATATATATATATATATATGTATGTGTGTGTGTGTGTTATGGGCTTATGGCTAGATTTTTATTATTATAGAGGTGAAAAGGAAGACATACACAACAATACGATGATCACAAAATTTACAACTTTAATTGTTACGTACTTTGTATATATATATGATGTATGATATGGAGTACCGAACTAATACAAGTACGTACAATACTCATTATTGATCTAATAGCACACATGCAGTCACTAGAATTCCTTATTGTTTGGTATAGGTCTACATACTAACATAGAAGATTAGAATTTCCCATCCTAAAAATTATTATTAATCTATAAAAAAAAGAAGACTTAACAGAATGAAATATTTGAGCTGGTTCCAAGAAAGCCTTGCGCCTATCATACATGCATGTCACTTGTTGAATATCAATTAAGCTGAATCTTGAGCGGATTTGAGCAGATATTAAGCTGCTTATAGCTCTTCATAGAGGGTATATTTGGTAACGTTTGAATAAAATCAAATCAGATACCCTATTACCTGAACAAATAAAATAACATAAATGAATTATTAATTAATCACCAATTTTAAACAAGACTAATACAATTATTCAATAAGTAGAATAATTGATGAGAAATGAAAAACAAGTAAATACCTTGAGCATCAACGATGTTGGTACCCGCAAAAGCCAAGATAAGGCGGTGAACGAATACTGTATACTGGAGAAGACTCGAAACCACCAGCCACGGCACAGTGAAGGGTGGTGACTCGGTCAGACCCGGTAACTCAGTTAACATCGTTGGAAATGTAATGCAATCGAATGAATTGCATAGTTATTTCGGTCCTCACTCGTGCCCGGCCGGGCGAGCTGCGCCCGACGGGGCGGATTGAAAGTCAGTTTTTGGGGTGCTCTCGTGCCCGGCCGCACGGTTTGTCGCCCGACCGGGCGAATTGTCTCACGATTTTGAAGTCGCTCTCTTTCCCGACCAGGTGGCGTGATGTTGAGTTTCCGAGCCCGTCGGGCGAGGTTCGCCCGGTCAGATTGCCTGGGAATTCTTTTTGGGGATTTTCATTCTCGCCCGCCCGGGCGGCTGTGACCCGACCGGGCGCGATTGCTTGTGTCAGGGAGATTGTCCTCGCGTCCGACTGGGCGGCTGATCGCCCGACCGGGCGCGCCTCTTTAATTGCTTAATTACCCCGTATATTTTCTAGATATAAACAATATTTTTCCAACAATTTAGAAGCGAAATTGTATTAATTTAATATACTGTTGATTTGGAATTTACGGACAATTTTAATTACTCTGGGTATCGAGAAATTTGCGGCCTGTAATTGTCGAAGAAGAGAACAATATTTATTGGAATTATCGAAATTATACGAAGCATTATTTGGGAGTAGCACTACTACAATTTGAGGCCTCTTGTAACATTAAAATTGGTTACAACATAGCCAACATCTGTTACAATAGCTCTACTGTAACGCCATTGTGTATGTTACATTTGCTGCCTTAACATTAGATCTATTGTAACGGTTAATGAACTACTGTGACTGCTTTAGGAGTCTATTGTAACGCGGCCCAACAATCAAAATTAAATGTTACTCTAGCTACTAATCCAGTTACAATAGACATGTAACACACTTTTCAAAGCTATTTGTAACGGTTGTAGTAGCAATCTAAATTATATTATTTGATGCCATCAATTGTAACGGTTGTTTGACAATAAGTTAATTATAAATATAAATTAATTTCATCTATTACATTATCATTCTGATTATACAAGGAACAATTAATGTACAAAAATTATTATATATACTCAAATTAAATTGCATGAATTACATCATCTTGCTTTAGCAAGTTTCTAAACTTACAAATTTGAAAAGTAAAAAAAATTACATAAAAAAAAAATAAAATAAAAAAATCTAAACAAATATGAGTACTTTTTTTTTTTTTTTTTTAGAATCGGGTGTGTGTGTGTGTGTGAGGGGGGAAGGGGGGATTACACCTCTATAAGTTCGTTCCATCTTTGACTATTTTAGTTAGGATCAGGTTGATCTTTTAGAGTTCCCCTTGATTAAAATCAGTCAGCTGATTAACAAAATAACACAGCTTTAGTTCCTACTGCACTTTAGTTCAGTAGAGATACTCTGTATATACACTACATTATTAGTAGATTTGTGGATATCATGTACAATCGTGTTTAATGTATATTAAGGTTAAGGTGGTGGAAAAGTGACATCGCTCTCCGTCTCATGTCGTTGAGGTTTACGGATCAAACAGAGGAGGAGAAGGGAGTTGTTTGTAGAGAAAAGGAGGAAGTTTGATTTTTTAGAGAGAGAAAATTTCGTGTATATGTACCCACTGGATAATTTCTTTTTGTGGTTTTTCAAACTTGCCAATGAACTATATTCTATTGTTAATTGGATATTTTAGATATATGTCAAAATTTTATCTAGATTTATTTTACACAACTTTCATATGTAGCTGGCCACATCTTGTGGATGGGGTTACTTGTTAATGCTATAAGGGTTACTCATTCACTTTTACAAGAGTTACTTGATAAGTGTTACATGGGTTACTCTATCGTGTCATAGGGGTTACTTGATCAGTAATATAGGGATTAATCAGTCATTGTTATAGAGGTTACTTTTTACAAGTGGTCATATGGTGTGGCTAGCCACACACAAAACGCGTGGTATATTTTATCATTAAAAAGATAAATAAATTTAACTAATTAAGTCCTTAATTTTATTCTATAATATATATTATAATTTATATTTACATTTGATTTACTAGTAATTTACATTTTAAATTAAATTAAATTTAAAATTCAAATAAAGTATTCCCACTTGGTTACAACATATCATGAATGGATTTTGTTTTAAAACATTTTTACCACGAATTTTGTGATGCAAAAATTACAATTTTATAAGGTGTTTATTGAAAAATATAAATTATTTAATGTATATGAAAAAATAAAGTTTATTGAAACTAAAACTCAAAAATAACTTTTTATGTTAAATCTAATATCGGTTACATGTCATATTTATGTATAGTTATCGTTTATATGTGGTACGACACTTGGCAAAAAAATAAAATGCCAAGTTTTACTGTCTTGTGGCCTGATTGCAGGACTGGGCTTTAATTAGTATTGAAATGACTAGTTTGTACCCCGATCGATGCCCCGAGTCTTACTTTTAAAGATTCTTCTTATTTTTGAACATATAAACTATATTTGTTTATATTACCTTTGTTTTTGCAAGGTCTTTAGGCTTTCCAGACGGTTCCTAAATTAATTTATAAGTATATTTTTAATATATCAACCTTTTATACATCTTATTATTAATATATATAATTAAAAACATTAATTTTCAAGAATTGTCATTATAAGATCTAATTGTCAAGAATTTAAATTATAAGGTTTGATCGATTCATATATTATAAATGGATCTTGTTTTGAAAAACTTTTTAAAACGAATTTTATGATGTCAAAATAACAAATTTATAAGATATTAATTTTAATCTATAGTTTAGTTTATACATAAAAAAATATTAAAAGTCTTATTGAAATAAAACTCTAAAATAACATATTTATCCTAAAATTATTTTTTTTATCCTAATAAATTTATCCGGATTTTGCTTATGTAGCAACATATATGTCATGCTAACTTATCGCCCATGTGGCGCGACACTTGGCAAAAAATTATAAAGTCAAGTGTCACTGTCTCGTAGCCTGGTTGCATGAATCGGCTTTAATTAATTTATATTATTATTATTATTATTATTATTATTATTATTATTAGCGATATGATGATATGATATTAAATAGATTTGTGATTTGCACAAGAATTAAGGCAAAAAAGAACATGTAAAAAAGGTGCGAGGGTAAGGAAAAGCTAAACAAAAATCAAATGAATAACCCTTCACTTTTGATCCTTTTTAGACCCTTCACTTTTGATCCCTATTAATAACCCTTCACTTTTGATCCCTATTAGACCCTTCACTTTTGATATGATCCACACTAATTAAGGAACGGATGGAGTATCATTTAAAAATTGCATTAAATTACCCTTTTATCATCTATTTTTCTTGTCTTTATTAAGTGACCTTTTAAATTACCCTCTTATGCAAAAATATTTGTGCAAAGTTAGCTCTTCTATGTGAATTTAGTTTTTTCATGTACTTTTATTATTTTCTCTCTCTACTTTTTTGCAAATCCCATGTGAATTTAACTTTCCAATGGACATTTACTAATTCCTCCTTTCCCTTCTTAATTCACATGAAAATTCGTCATATAAGGCTAAATAAAAAAGGGATGGAGAAAGTATTTATCTATGTACTTTATTGTCAATTTAACTTTTCCATGTCCCCTTTCTTGATTCCCGTGTATTTCACAAATGGGAAAAATCATTTGAGAACAGATGGAGTAATAAAAAAGTAATAATGGAGGTCGGACTATGAGAGGAGATAAATATAATATTAAAATGTAGTTTTTTTGCCAAAAGAGGAAGTATAACACTTAAAAAAAATACGACCTCATTTAATAAGTGTAACACTTGAAAAAAATAAAAAATAAATAAAAAAACACGAAGGGAGTATGAGAAATTTATCACGAAGTACTCCTTTTGTTTCACATTGATTTTTCCCATTTTGATTGTACATGCTTTGTGTCTTTTATTTGCGACACTATAATTAACACTTATCAATGCGTTACTCTCTATTATATTAAAAAATTATCATAAATATAATACTTTGTAATACAACCTTTGAGCGATACAATTTAAATAAGATAATTTTTTTATTGTTTCTTAATATTACAACCTTTGGTGTTGTGAATCTTAAAGAGATCTAAACTAGTTGTAACCTTTGTTAATTATGCCACCTGTTACTCTAGGATTAGCTTAAAGAATTATTTTAATCATACTCCCTTTGTATTTTATCAGCCGCTCCACTTTTTTTTTTGCGGCCATATTTTATTACTCGTTCCGTTTTCATTTTGGGAAACCTTTTACAATACTTTACTAATTTTCTTTCCTAGTGGACTCCCAACTATTATACTTAAATATTTTAATATTCTCTCTCCTCTCCACTATCATACTTTAATCTTCCACCAACCCCACTTCATTCATATTTTATTATGAGTATTTTTTACTATTTTTTCTAAAACTTCGTGAATGGGAAAATGGAGAAGTAATAAAGTATGGAGAGAGTAGATACACAAAATATCTACTTTATATTTTAGAGAATACTTGTACTAGTATGTTTTTTAGGACATCATAGTATAGTACTCGTACTCCAAATAACAAACTCGTATTTGGGAAACTATTTTGCCCACACGTAATTGTCATAGCAAAATCACAAGCAAACTTGGGGTTAATGTACATTGATGAGGTAATTAAAACAAATGCCTCGAATCCAAAGATTAGGGCATAATCGCGATCATTTTTGTAAAAATGCAGGTTACCATTGCCATTATCTTTACTGATAAGCACTTGACTAAGCAACAAATAGTTATTAACATAGTAAAAAGTCTAGCAGACTAAAAGCATCAATAAAATCAAGTTTATTAACATTCAAAAGATTACAAACTGCATAAACATAGCAACAGATTATTTGATCCAAAATTTCTTATCAACGACGACCTGTACACGTATGTTGCAGCCAAAACTGTATGCATTATTTAGCAGTTAGCAGAAAGCGTAAAGAGAGACACAGTGGTCATCGAAATATCCTAATATCCAACACACTTCAGGGTAAACCGAGGGGCTAGTAGTGTTTCAGATCATTCTTTTTACAGGTATGACTAACAGAAGAACATGGACCTGCACACTCTGTTATGCAGCTTGGGGAGCTCAGGCACAGGAGGATTTCCAGCAGAAGTCACGCCTCCATGACCCGATGATGTTTCTGACAGGTCTTCATACTTCAGGAAATGAGATGCTTGGGAGGCTGCCAGATGGGCATATCGAATTGGTGCAGCTGCAAGATAAAAATGGAGGAGAAAAAGAAAAAAAGACTTAGTATTGTGAAGTGAGCTTAATTTTCTTACAACTATTTGCCAGAGTTAGCAATAAGATTTACCAATAGATATAGCAGTAGTGCTCCTCTGGTACCTGCATGTGTTAAAGTATACGCTTAAATCAGTCCTTGTGCATATTTAACTTTAAACACAAAAAAATTGCAAGTATTTTTGAGGTCAAGAGCTTCTTACACATAGGATAAAGAGTGAATCAACTCTTGCAGCTCATCTGCTGTAAAGGCATTCTGATCAAGCAGAACATGGTAGTGAGTTGGCCTGCTTGTGCCCTGCAAATTTTGACTCACATTATGTTTGATCATAGAAATGAAAAGGTTCCAGCAGTGAAGAATATGCTGTGATTATGTCTGCTACTACTTGCGAAGATTTACAGAATGTGAAGAGCTCATTAGAATATACAATAGTCCAACAGCTATGTTATTAATTTCAGCTATCTTTGTTACATCCTCAATACTTGCAGATGGTTGGACACTTATCATTTTGGAGCAAGAACATATACAATTTACTGACACCAACAATCGAGTTTGATTAGTATGAAAATTCATGTCAAAGTATCGAGTTGTAAAACAAGTTCAATGTAGATAGTGCATGACAATGCAAATGAAAGGATCAATACTAGATGAGCTGATTAAATCCTACTTTTAAGAGTAAGAAATTTCTAAAGTTCTTTCACTCACAATCATCCCATTCTGCGCACACATGTAGAAATCATAGTAACGAGGATCGCAGACTTTGCTGTCACCCACAGTACCTGCATACAACAAAGGCAACAAATAAGGCCAAACTTTCTGAATTCTTTGGGAAATCTGATTCTTAATATTTTGCAAGTGTGCTAGATTTGCTAACCAGGTGGTACATTGTCTTTAGGTCTTTCTTGTTGGAAAAACTTGGTATGATGATTTTTCTGAGCAATGATTATGGTGTACTTAGGAGACCAACTATCACCAAGCGCTGTGCATGCCTGAAAAATGATGTGAATTTGCCATGCACATGCTTATATAACAATTCAGTCTAAGGAACATTTGGAACAAACCTGAAGAATCTGTTCAAACTCTATGTTGAGGACCTGCTTGAATTGCGACTCACTCACTCCATCCCTGATCGTGTATGAAGAAAAATATTAGTCTCTGCAATAGGATCTAAAGATTGCATAAACACCAAATATAAAGCATCTCATCTGGTATCATACCTAAATACTATGACTTGTGATGGCTTAACTGGGGGGCGTGAACTTTTGTAGAATTCCTCCAGAAGCTCTTTATTAAAAAAGCAAATATCATGCACATCTAATATTTAGTTAGTGTACAAGGTTATTTGATGGATAAAGTCCAAAAAAAAAAAACCTGAAAATGCCTCCGTCTTCTCCTGTAGGCAAAGGCTTGTACAATGATTCGATCATTTCAACCTTTGGGGACTGAGAACGGACAGATGCTCTGTACCGATATATTGATGAGGGCCTAGAACTCACAACCTGTATATATTTGAAAAATAAATCCAGTTTAGCTAGTAGTTAATTAAAAAGGAGACAAAGGAATGTTAGTGTTTTACTAACAGCAGCAATAGAGGGAACTCCAGACTGGCCAGGAGAGCCATGATAGACATCCATTCCGAAGATTATAGGCTTATCAATGAGCACAGGAATGTTACGCTCAACTGCAAGCCGATGATTCACTCCGCCCAAGCTGTAAGGAAGTAAGAGATAATTACATATAAACCAAAAGTAGTATGAAATCTAAAAGTAAAAGCAATGAAAGCATGTATTACTTTGGCATTAATCTTAAGCAGAAGATTGGTGAGGTACTGCTCATTGGCTCGTTGAGGTGCCAAGCATTGACTAACAACTCCAAGTTCAACAAGGGCTTTCTTTTTCCAAGGGCCTGTAGAGAACATTTGATCAATCAACTTCAAACATGAAATACAGATATGAATCATATGATGTGCAAACATTATCAAATGTATTTCAGAATTTCTGACCATATATTTCAGAATTTTTCCTATCAGCAAAGACACACAGAATAATAGTAGGGGGTTTATAACGTAGTCGTGACATCACTTGATCAGCCATTTTGTCCACTCGAACAGGAGGTGGTGCTCGCCTATACTGTGGATCCTCCTCAAAAGTACACAATGGAAACTTAGGGATCTCCTGAATAGATAGAAAAAAAAAACAAAAAGAAAAGAAGTTTCAGACATTATTAGCTGAATATACTACTACTCTGAAAGATGTACAGGACAATAGGCACACAAAATATATGATTTTGTTCTGACTTACAATGCCTTTCATTTCCCCACACTTCACCAGGTCTCTGCAAAGGTCGAATATGTTACAGCGTGCAGAGAAGTTCACTACCACCCTGTCTTTAATTGTAACGGGATTTGAAAATTTCTGCAAGAAAAAAAGAACAAACATTAAAAAGATGGGAAGAAAGAGGTCTCAACTGAGGGACCGAAAATGTGAACTACCTTGTCCTTTACATTCCAACGTCCATTTCTTGGAAAATCTTCCCCATCACCAAATTCCAGCTGCAAGAATTAAAAATATGCAGGAGATTGTTGTAGAGAGGTTAATTAAATTTAACAAACAAGTCCCTTTGTTTTTTTTCCCAAGAGGGATGGGCAGTGATACCTCGGGAGCAGCCAAAACACGGCCTTCAACTTGCATAAATTCGTTGTTGATTGTGATGCCACAGGTACGTAGGAGTGGCTCAGCAGCATAATTACTTATCCTCATTGCCTAGCAAGAAGCCAAGACGCGAACATAAGCAAAATGTGGCAAAAGAAATGAGAATGTGGTAATGAATTAATCACAAAGATTGCAAAGGCATACATCTGTGAGGGTCCTTATTTTTTCTTGTGGCTTCTGCCTTGATATTTCTACCAATGAAGATCGCTGACGAACAGTTAATGCTTTAGTGTACCTCTGTAGCGGAAGCAACGAACACAGCTGAACAAAATTAAAGTGGTTCAGGTAAGATAAGAGTAATATAAATAAGACCTCAAAAAAAATAAAAAAATTGCTACAAGTTTATCACCTCGATTGGTATGTAAATTGGCCTCTTTGGTTTACCCACATTAACACAAGGTAAGTCCCCTGAGTACTCTAGATTTATATCTCGATATTTAGCAAAATATTCTGAAACTGTTGGTTCAGTTTCCACAAAATTCTCTCCATCTCTTTCAGCCGATCTCCTCCTTAGTGTGAACCTTATAGGACAGAACATTTCATAAATTATCAAAGATCATCATATAGCAAAGACTAAAGCTAGCATGGATAACTCTCACCTCTGTTTTCTGCAAATATCTTCACTCAATCCACAGATTCTCCACTCAGTATTGGCGGGTGCTACTCTTACTCTCAGATTTTTCAGAGTGCGCTTAGCCTATACAAGGTATTATGACAAGTATCACTTATCAGAACCCCTCAAGTGAAAGCATGTCCCTATACAGTATGAACTAGTGTAATAGCACCTCGAAGTTCCGTTTTTACCTTCACCCAATCAATCTCGTATGAATATTGTATATCCTGGTTGTCTAGGAGAAAATCTAGCAATGGTCCAGGCTTAACAATCGTTGTAAGCGTCCCATCTGCTCTCACAGTCACAACAAAGAAAGCACTAAGGGTCAAGTGTTGTTCCAAACGCCAATATACCTTGTAAAAACATATGGAAACTAAACACTTACCCATGTTCAAAGACAGTCCACTTTGAGTGGCTCGAAAACTTGAATGGTATCCCCTGCAACCAAGAATACCCCTTCCAAGGACATCAAAGTTCCTTTTATTGTCGTGAAAGAATGATTGCCTCACCAAAAGGCACCCCCTTATGTATAAAAAGAGAACATCAGTATGTACAAAGAGGAAACAAAATTTGAAAAAAGAACAAGGAGTAAGAAATTTGAACTTACTTATTTGCAGCATGTTGCCTCAGTACTATGTCCAGAACCCGGACAGCATCTAGGAAGTCCTCAGATTCTATACCACGGAGAGCATCACTTATTGCCTTAATTGGGATTTCTGTTGCATAACTGATCTCCACCTTAAAAGTCTTTCTTTGAGATACGCGTTTTCTTCTCTTTTTATCACTCTCATTGCCTCCCGGGCTGCTCTTACCATCCTTCCTACAATAAAATGATGTTTTATAGTACTAATGTAAGCAATGTATCAAAGTAACAAGCACACAAGCAGTTTGATTACTTTGTTAAGGCATTGTTAATTACCTTTCAGATGAGACCTTGGGAGGGAACCGACAGTAAACAAGGTCTTCTCACCATCATAAGCGAATTCCTTGCCATCCAACTCAGAGCTGTATGTTTCTTTGATCTTGTCCATTACTTTTCTTCCTACACCCTTCATTACTTCAACTGGTTTTCCATCTTCATAGTAAAGGGCAACCTGAGGGGTAGGATAAGAGAGCATAGTACTTCAGATATTTCATCTTCCGCAACAACATTATTATACAACATGATTGCTATTTAAAAAGAGATTAGGTAGATGAAACATACAGAGTATTGGAAGAAGTAGTAATCAGTATTGTCAATCTTGACATCGAAGTGATTGGTTAATAGTCGAATTTTCTGCCCTTTTGATCCACAGCCAGGCCTCAACATAGGAACTCGTTTCTGCTTTTGTTCAGCAGCATCCATTTTCTAGTACAGACAATCTACACCAAAATGAAATCAAAATAACCATAAATCCACAACTGTTCTATGCTTCACAAGTTCATACAACTATTACATTACCACAAACAACATAGAATTGCAATAACATATACACCACCAATCATTGTGTGTTCGGATTAATCTTTCAAGAGGCAACTTCTACGAAAAAAGGTCTCTTCTTACTAATTAACTCACTAGTCAATAATACAATTTTTTTTTTTTTTAACACTACAAAAGTACCACTGTTCTTTCCTTAAATAATTTCTTTGTGAGCTTACAATACACTTATATAATCTTTATCTATTACACATTTTTATTCTATGCAAAAAATTCTTTTAAATTCTAATGTAATCAAAATCTTGTGCACTTGCAAAAGTACATTTAAGTGAAAATGTAAAACTAAAATATGAAGACTAGTCGATTAGAAGATAAAGATTGACAGAGAAATTAAAAACTAAAGGCAGAAGATTACAAAAATAAAATTGAAATCAACTGTTGTTCTTATTTGGACGAATTTTATTTTTATTTTATTTTTATTTTTTTTGAGAAAAACCCAAAAAACATTAGAACACCAAGAAATAATCATAAAATGCCTATAATATTACCCTTTTATCAAAATAGAAAGAAAAACATGTTTTGTGTCTTGAATGAAGTTGCCATTTTCCAAAACATAAAGAAAATTCTATCAATCTTTAACAAAAATATGATGAAAATTAAAATGCCTAAAATTAAATACAAACAATTAAATGTAGCCTTTTTCTTTTTATCATTCCTTAATTGTGGGCAACTTTTCCAACTTACGAAGTAAAAAATCTAAGTACCCATTTTACGTAAGATCATCATATTCATCAAATGACATAAAAAATTGACAAAGTTACTAAGAATATGAAATAATTAATAAAGAAAAAACGAAAACAATTAAATGATGAAGAACTCAAAGTAAAATAGAGCAGAATTATACCTTTCCAGCGAGAAATTCTCCAGAAAAAACCTAAAACCCAGTAGAATATGATGAAGAAGAGCAAGTTTGTTCTGCTAGAAAATTATGAATTTTAAAGAGAATATGAAGAAATTGTAGTAAAAGAAGTAAGAATAAGGGGGAAATGAAGATAAAAAGAGTAGAATATAAATGAAAATTACAGAGAGAAACCTTTGCTAATTGCTATTATTAAGAGGTAATGAAGCTTTAGTTAAATTTTGGTCTCATTTGTTTCTCTTTTATAAACGAAGAAATTTGACGAGTATGACACTATGAATGTATGACCGTGACTATGTGAGTTTACGTACGTACGATTAGGCCCGTTCTTGGAATCTTGGATACGTGAAATTTCAATTGTTGTAATAACTAAAAACGGATAAAGTATTTTAATTAATGTTACAAGTTGTAAAGGTGTCAATTCGGTGAAGTGGGGTTGGGTCCGTTTTATTTCAAAGTTAAGTTATGCTAAATTATTGTGTGCATATGAGTTGAAATTTGAAATGGATATTTTCGAGTTAGATTAGATAGATTCGGTCAGGAAAGTTAATTGGTCATTGTTATAGAGGTTACTTTTTACAAGTGGTCACATGGTGTGGCTAGCCACACACATAACGCGTGGTATATTTTATCATTAAAAAGATAAATAAATTTAATTAATTAAGTCCTTAATTTTAGTCTATAATATATATTATAATTTACATTTACATTTGATTTACTAGTAATTTACATTTTAAATTAAATTTAATTTAAAATTCAAATAAAGTATTCCTACTTGGTTACAACATATCATGAATATAATGGATTTTGTTTTAAAACATTTTTACCACGAATTTTATGATGCAAAAATTACAATTTTTTAAGGTGTCTATTGAAAGATATAAATTATTTAATGTACGTGAAAAAATAAAGTTTATCGAAACTAAAACTCAAAAATAACTTTTTATATTAAATCTAATATCGGTTACATGTCATGTTTATGTATAGTTGTCGTTTATATGTGGCACGACACTTGGGAAAAAGTTGAAATGCCAAGTCTTATTGTCTCATAGCCTGATTGCAGGACTCGGCTTTAATTAGTAGTGAAGTGACTAGTTTGTGCCCCGATCGATGCCCCGAGTCTTACTTTTATAGATTCTTCTTATTTTTTAACATATTAACTATATTTTTTTATATTACCTTTGTTTTTGCAAGGTCTTTACGCTTCCCAGACGGTTTCTAAATTAATTTTTAGGTAAATTTTTAATATATCAACCTTTTACACATCTTATTATTAATATATATAATTAAAATCATTAATTTTCAAGAATTGTCATTATAAGGTCTAATTGTCAAGAATTTACATTATAAGGTTTGATCGATTCATATATTATAAATGGATCTTGTTTTGAACAACTTTTTAAAACGAGTTTTATGATGTCAAAATAACATATTTATAATATATTAATTTTAATCTGTAGTTTAGTTTATGCATAAAAAATATTAAAAGTCTTATTGAAATAAAACTCTAAAATAACATATTTATCCTAAAATAAATTTTTTTATCCTAATAAATTTATCCGGATTTTGCTTATATAGCATCATATATGTCATACTAACTTATCACCCATGTGGCGCAACACTTGGCAAAAAATTAGAAGGTCAAGTGTCACTGTCTCGTAGCCTAGTTGCATGACTCGGCTTTAATTAAATTAATGGGTTTTTCTAAGCTATGCCCCTAAGGTAGTCGAGTTTCTAAGCTGTACACATGCTTTTTCAAATTTCTAAGTTTTGCCCCTCAACTCACTACCATTAATGAATGGTACCCTCTTTGGGACTTCCACGTCACCTAAAGTTAACTATAAATTTAATAAAAAGATGATAAAAGGTAAGGAAATGATAGGAGAAAGAAATCTTCGTCGCCGCAACCCTAATAACAAAAACTGAAGCCACGAAATCACACTCTCAATTAACTTTTAAACAATTAATAAGGGAACATTTTAGTATTAATAAACAATTGAACGGCACGACTTAGAAACTTGAAAAAGCATGGGTACAACTTAGAAACTCGACTACCTTAGGGGTATAGCTTAGAAAAACCCTAAATTAATTATTATTATTATTATTATTATTATTATTATTATTAGTGATACGATAATATGATATTAGATAGATTTGTGATTTGCACAAGAATTAAGGCAAAGAAGAACATGTAAAAAAGGTGCGAGGGTAAGGAAAATAAAGCTAAACAAAAATCAAATGAATAACCCTTCACTTTTGATCCTTTTTAGACCCTTCACTTTTGATCCCTATTAATAACCCTTCACTTTTGATCCCTATTAGACCCTTCACTTTTGATATGATCTACACTAATTAAGGAACGGATGGAGTATCATTTAAAAATTGCATTAAATTACCCTTTTATCATCTATTTTTCTTGTCTTTATTAAGTGACCTTTTAAATTACCCTCTTATGCAAAAATATTTGTGCAAAGTTAGCTCTTCTATGTGAATTTAGTTTTTTCATGTACTTTTATTACTTTCTCTCTCTACTTTTTTTGCAAATTCCATGTGAATTTAACTTTCCAATGGACTTTTACTAATTATTCCTTTCCCTTCTTAATTCACGTGAATATTGGTCATATAAGGCTAAATAAAAAAAAGGGATGGAGGAAGTATTTATCTATGTACTTTATTGTCAATTTAACTTTTCCATGTCCCCTTTCTTGATTCCCGTGTTTTTCACAAATGGGAAAAATCATTTGAGAACAGATGGAATAATAAAAAAGTAATAGTGGAGGTCGAACTATGAGAGGAGATAATATAATATTAAAATGTAGTTTTTTTGCCAAAAGAGGAAGTATAACACTTAAAAAAACACAACCTCATTTGGTAAGTGTAACACTTAAAAAAAAACACGAAGGGAGTATGAGAAATTTATCACGGAGTACTCCTTCTGTTTCACATTGATTTTTCTCATTTTGATTGTACATGCTTTGTGTCTTTTGTTTGCAACACTATAGTTAACACTTATCAATGTGTTACTCTCTATTATATTAAAAAATTATCATAAATATAATACTTCGTAATACAACCTTTGAGCGATAGAATTTAAATAAGACAATTTTTTGATAAGTTTCTTAATATTACAACCTTTGGTGTTATCAATTTTAAAGAGATCTAAACTAGTTGTAACCTTTGTTAATTTTGCCACCTGTTACTCTAGGATTGACTTAAAGAATTATTTTAATCTTACTCCCTCTATATTTTATCAGCCGCTCCACTTTTCTTTTGCGGCCATATTTTATTACTCGTTCCGTTTTCATTTTGGGAAACCTTTTACAATACTTTGGGGTTGTTGCTTCGAAAGACAACGATATTAGGGTTTCTCTAATGTTGATCGGTAGGTTGTTGACAGATAGAGGGACCAATGTGGAGGCTTTTAAACGTACAATAACTCAATCGTGGAACATGAAAGATAGAGTAGTGATACGAAACCTTGGAGCAAATTTATACGCCTTCCAATTTTAGAGGGATAAGGAGAGAGTGATGGATGGGAGACCGTGGTGTTTTGAACAAAATCTGTTAATTCTCAATGAGATCAAAGGAGAGGAACAACCAGCAGATGTTAATTTAAACCATTCGCCATTCTGGATACGAATGGAGAACCTCCCTTTCAACTGCCGCACGGATGATCACGTAAAACTTATTGCTGCGAAGATGGGGGAGGTGATTGCGGTGGAGGAAGATGCTCTTGGAATCAGCAAGAGCAGGAGGATTAAGGTGATGCTTGATGTGCGGAAACCATTACACCGTTATCAATCTCTGAAAACCAAAGAAGGTAATTTCATTAAAAATCGCTTTAAAGTATGAAAGACTACCCTTCTTTTGTTTTTCTTGTGGTGTAATGGGTCATAGTGAAAAAGATTGCCTAGAAATCTCAAATGATGATAATAATCTTGGGTTTGGTTAAGGTTTATGGTTGAAGGCGTCACCAATGAAGGGTAGAAAGCAAGAGGGGTTAGAGGTGAAAGGAATCTCCACTGCAAAAAAACTGGCTTTTGTACCTAAAAGCATTACGCATGACACTGAGGCTCCTACA